GGTAGCTCTGGGCTTATATTTGAAGTATATTACGAAATTTTTCGAATAACCTATTCTATAGATGTAAAACGAATTTATCACGACAGTTATTAAAGTATTGCTCACGTAACGTCAAACAAAAGAAATTGTGCGAATTTTTCATCCGTAAAAGTCGTCGACCAGGAATGTATCAAGCGTGGATACCAGGGCTCTCTCAGGGTACAGTCTAACTGTGGCCGCTATCATTCACCGTTGCTTACATAACCGGCCGGGTAAGGAAACGCACGGAAACAATTGCATGGAACGGTCTCGTCCGGGCCGCGGCAAAGAATATGTGGCCAAAATATTTGTTTTAAAAGATGTTGAAGACTGAGGGTGATAACTACCACGACATTTACACCAATGGGCCTACAGGTCCGTTGATTAGTTGAAATCGATAAGCATCCAGAAACATCACGCAACTAGTTGTGAATGTTTAATTCCTGCGGGTCTTCTGTGAGTTCCATTCAAGTCTTCAGCTGGAGGTGCTGTGTCTTTCAGGGTCTTCTACACAAAACGGATCCCACTTAAAATTTGGTAACGCAACTGAACTCGACTATGTAGTAGAGTTCTTTAAGTGGCAGTGATCATTTTGTTGTAACAATAACTTGATAAGCTAAGCTATTTTCCCGGCTCATTCATGTAACAACAGAAGTAGCTGAGGAGCTTGTCCACGTTTTACGTATATTTACTACACTCTGCTAGATTGTTGTAAGGATATCGCGTAATATTCACATACATGTAATTTAGTACGGACAAACGCTTAAACACGAAATCAAATTTGCAACTAATACGAATAGTTTTATCATTCAGCAATCGAATCCAACTGCCATTATATTAAGCTAGAAATATTGGGTTCCATTCCAAGTAAGTTAAGCAGATTTCATCAAGTTACATCATTGATACTTGTCTTTCCAACGACAACTAGGGGCGACAAGTTAGCTTGTAAAAGTTCGCCTTAAATTAATAATACCAATGAACCGGTTCAGATTGTTCTAGATCGATGTATACGTTTAACATTTCCAATCGCAAGTGCTCTTTAGTGTACTACATGTACTAGCTAGATGGTTAATGTTATTGATAAATAAACGAACGTAATACTTGTAAAATGGTCTCAGGTTTTTGTTTAGCCCGATGATTAATATTACAAATAACAATTGTTGCAGTATTCAATATTATTAAAAATATAGAGACATATGCGAATAATAAAAAACTAGTGTTGCTTAGCAGAAAAAAGACATTGATGGAACGGTAAGTTTTTTGCTAACACACGCGACAACAATTCATTACGTTAGCTACTGCTTATTATTAAATAATAAAACGGTTGTTCATTGGCAAGGACGTGTGCTGTCAAATTTAAAAATATTTCAGTAAATATTTATACACAGCGTTATTTAGGCCCTGGCAAAATATTGTGGGCATAATTGATAGGCATTAGTCGTACTTAGAAAATACTCTTTTCAACTGTCTTCAAACAGGAGGAAGTTTTGAATTTTTTTTTAATTTGTGTTATATTTATCAGTTATTTCTGTTACCTCAGAGCTCAGTCATTTATGAAACGATTTTAAAAATTCTTTTTGCGTTGGAGTCGATTCAGCTTTCGTGTTAATTTGATAAATTTTGGACCTTGAATCCTGGAAATGGGCACTCCTCAAAATCAAATACAAAAATTTTTAGTGCGGCAGATATTAAAATTAAATAAATTAACAGTCAATATGTCCCACTGCTGGGAAAAGACCTCCTCTGTACAGAGTTTATCGTAATCCACCACGTGACCCCACTGCGGATTGGCAGACTTCAAATACTTCATACCTTCGATTTTTTTTTTGTTATCATTTTGTAAACAGCCTCACGATGTTCTCCTTAACCGTTGAGCAAGTGATAAGTTAGCACTTAAAATTATTATCAACAATTTCATTGGAACCGGGATTTGAACCCACGTTACTAGAGTATACTGAATTAAGAGCAAGCGCCGGTATTTTAAGCTATCACGGCTGTTAGAAATAGAAACTAAATATCATTACATAACTGAACGTTTTAGAAAATTAATATTTTGTAATTAGTTTTCCCTCGAAATCATATAATATCTAACACGATAGATTTCTATTTATTAAAGAAGATTTATTACACGAAAAAGCTGTCGTTAATGACGGCGAGCAAACCGTTTTACGTTCAATTATTTTCGATTGAAAAAATATCGTTAAAGAATTACACGCGTTAGCGAGATTTCTAATGGAGGCTCGCGTCTCGGATATTTTATATAAAAGTCGGTCCATAAATTGCTGCGATTATTAAAAACAATATCCGTGATCTGGATTTCATTGCTTCAATTTATCCCTCGGTGAATCTGAGCTGTCTTCGTTAGACATCTGAGAAATGTTTTAAAATTATTATATTAGCACTTAATGTTTAAGCACATTGAGTGTTAACTTAATAATTTCATATTCCGTCTAACAAGTTTGCATTCTTGAGGATCTGCAAAATTTTCTAGTGCAATGTTTCAAGAAAGACGAGCGTGAGGGCAGCCTCGTCCAGGGAATTACTAAACCTGTTATATCAAATGTTATGGGTTCCTCAATAGGAATGTTTAACGTTACTAATATTAATCTACTAGGTGCTGCCCACAACTAAGTCTGCGTAGCAAAGGCTGAAGGTGAAACATTAAGAGAAAAAGACTGATATACATAAAATATGTATATAAATTACAGCCTATGTTTTAATCTGATGTATAAGCTATATTATTGTACAGTTTCATTAAAATCCATTCTGCAGTATTTGCGTGAAAGAGTAACAAACATCCATCCATACATACAAACTTTCGCCTTTATAATATTAGTAAAGATTGATGATATTTCATGTAAATAAAACTGTTTCCGCACTTGCGACATAAATTTAAGAGTCAGTATCCCTGAAGAAGAGACTTGAAGAACTTAAACTTAACCTTAAAAGTCGACAACGTTTTTGCAACTTCACCAATGTTGCGAATTTTGTCAAAGGAGTTTTTTTTGTGAAAGGGAACAAATGTCTCATATGAGGCCAGGTGGCCAATCGAATGATAATTATATCAATGGAATAAAAATTAAGGCCTTGGTCCAAATAAAATTCGTTGAAAGTTTACTCAGACAAGTTTTTGTTGTTTCGATTAATGATTTACAACGCTTTTGTAATACTAGTGACCTAACCTAGAATCGTCTAGATGCATAGCCATTTTAAGAGTAAATTTTTACTTATTCTTTCATTATCAGAAAAGAAGAGAATTTTTCGGCTTTATCATAATCATATATGCATTGTACCTATTTTACAATACATAGCGAGAGTAAATTTGTTACATCAAAAGAAGAGAATTTTTCGGCTTTATCATAATGCATTGTACATTCAGATTGTACCATATTTACATGATACATAGCGATTTTTTTGTGAGAAGGTGGCAAAAATCTGGCGGTTCACCTGATGTTGAGGGTAACCGCCGCCCATCGACATCTGCAGAAGTATAAAACTTCACGCCGATCTTCTGTGAGTTCGTGGTCCTTACCCAAACGGACCTGCCCATTCTTGTAATGGACTGTACCACACCTACATTGTACAAATAGTTGGAATTAAGTTCCCGATATCCCGTTTACCCTCCATACACGCATAAACTCAAAAAATCTTCACTATTTGTTTATAATATCTAATAACACAGACTTGGATACAATTTGCAACGTGCATGTTTCCTCACACGGTATTAAAATGAAGTACGTGCCTCAAAATAATAAAAGCGTAGTGACAACTCACGTGATGTCAAATATGCTCCGAGAGTTATTATAACTAAGAGCAATATTCCACTAGTTATAAGTTGCAAGTAAAAGTAAAGCAACAGCCTATATAATGTGTCCCACTGCTTTACAAAGATCTACTTTGCATAGAGAGCATTAATGCGATTAAAAAAATGAAATTCATCATGTATTAAATCATCATCATAATTTCAGCCTGTTTGGTTACACTGCTAAATATAGGCCTTCCCCGTAGACTGCCACGAAGTAAGATCCTGAGCCCCCTGCATCCATCGACTTCCCGCACATTTGCACAGGTCGTCACTCCATCTAGTGCGGGGTCCTACACTGTAATGGGTAGTACAACAAAGCTGCCACTCGAGAACCACTCGAGAACCTTTCTCCTCCATAGGTTATCGGTTCTACGATGGCCGGCCCATAGCGACTTCAGCTTGCTAATCTTCTGAACTGTGTCGGTTACTTTTGTTCTACTGCATGTGTTTTAAATGTCTTTGATTAAGTTCAATCCGTCACTACGAGGAAAACTCTAGATAGAGGAATGCGCAACCATATATCACTGAAACGATTCACTTTCACATTAAAGCTCGTATTTGTGTTTGTTCTATCATCACGCGTAACTATTTAACCGATTTGTGTGAAAATTGAAATGGAGATAGTAAAGGCTGCTCTGCGTTAGAGTATTAAACGAACATTAACTATTTTGTTATTAGCGAGAAAAGAGCATTTTAGTATGGGGATTATCGAGGAGGGGTATAAAAATATATAGGTACCTATGTGTATGGACAAGGATCTAAACCTGAAAAGTTTCGATGCTCAGAAAAATTAGGACGAATAACTTTATCATGAAAATATATTCCTTAGGCTAGGTTTCTTTTCTAAAAACAAAACGGAACGCCGTGCAGTGCCGCAATTTTTCGTGCTAATAATGAACAGACGCCATTTAACAATTGGATTATAAATAAATCGTGTGCCGACATGTCTATCTCGTTCCGCGCTCACACTCTATGACCTCGACGGCTGCGGCGCGGAGTAGCGGACCGAGCCGAGCCAGTCGGCCGCCAGCGATGGGTTTGAATGTACGTTTCAACGTCGCTCCAAAAGTCGAATTGTTTACGTGAGCAGTTAAGTTTGCCAGTTCGCCGGTCCGCCAGTCACCTTGTTCTGTTGTGGCCCGATGAGAGTCCGTTACGGACCAGTGTTGTGATTGTGATGGCGAATCTAACGCTACGCTACCTTGACGAGCTGTCGTATGTGCTGAACAGCAGGCGGCACCTCGCCTCCCAGGCGAAGGCGTCTTCTGTGGGCGATCTCCTCAACCCTGAGGAGGACAGGTTCCCGACGGTGAGTCGCGTTCCATTAAGGCCCCTGTACACATTGGGACAATGCATTGCACCAATCGGTAAAGGGCTATTTTGCGAAACGTTTGTGACAAATCGTAGTTGGCGCGAACGTTGGCCGGCAAACCGAATTGTGTCGGTTTTTTGAACACAGATCAATGGAGTATGGAGCGCCAATGCACAATAAGCAGTACGCAAATGTGTGAACAGCGAAACACCGCGAACGCAAACGCTTTGGCCCAACGTGTACAAGGGCTATTAGACTTTTGAGATTTCAATTGAGCTATACCCGTTATATATATATGTTGCAGTAGTAACCGTTTCGATATAAATGCAGTCTCCTTTAAAATCGCGGCGTATTTGGCTAACGAGGCTACCGTTGTCAACGGTCGGTTTGACAACAGGAACAGTCTGACGTTTCTCGTGCTGCAGCAAAGACAATAGGAGGTCGAAGGTGTATGACCTTCTTGGTTAGTCACGGTTTAGTCTGCTTCTTGTGATTCTTGCACTCATGCAACCCTCTTTGCCCTGCGCCATATTTCTTTGACATAAATACAGATTCACGTATAGGTGTTATGTAAACGACCTAGCTTAAGATGAGTTGTTGAAACTTTACGAACACTATCGATTAATAGGCGAGAGGCCTATAAACTAGTTACATTTATGCTTAAGAATAGCATATACTATTTGCGTATACACAGGAACTTATTAAATTGTTTTGGCGTTGATTAAATTCGAAAATGTTATAATTCTGCTTACGTTAATGTATTCTAATTATTTTCTTCCTCGTTCACAAGGACGAACTGTCCATTTTATCTGTCACACGTATGTTACATTCGATAAAATATACAACCTATTTTCAATGCAAAACAGCTTCGTGAAGTTGTGGTTCGGGCTAATAAAAAAAGAACTGAATTGAAATTGCTTCGCACATAGCGACTGTTTGGAAACGTTTCAAAATTACTCTTTTGAATGTCATTAACCTCTATTTTCATATTTTTCTCCGTGTCCACAGCGATTTATTCATTCAAATGGTAAAATTATAATGTATGTCATTATAATTTTTTTTAATAATATAGCTAGACTATGTTTCACCTTTTTGTTGCTGGAATACTTCACCAGAAAAGTATTCCTTCGTGTATTTATTAACTACCTATGCATTGCAACTTATGAAACCGTGTTACAATAATAATTTTGAACGTACCAAAAGCCAAACAAAATTGTCCAATCAAACTCGAGATTGCACTTTTGTTACGCGATAACTTTGAGAATACTTCTTTTTGCTCTCTTTGTTATTTCGATGCACTTTTGCTTTAGACATCTTGCAGTTTCATATAACCGGTTACGCAGTAGAGTCTCGGGTTCGATTATATTTGCGAATTACGAAACGCAATCGTCACAATCTTCGGTCGTGACGAGGCATTAACATTGTTGCATAATCTAAACCTTTTTTTCTTTTCAAAGACTGACAGTCACAGGGGTGAGCCGGTTGTTGTGGTTAGTTAACCGTCTGAATGATTTTTTTTTTAATGTGAAAAGTTGCCAAACGAGCATTGACATCCGCTACACTCGAGGGTTCCAGATGTGTCGACAACCTTTTGGTAATTGGGCTCCGGCCACCTCACTCACCAGACGAAACGCGAAAGTATTACTTACACTTCACGCCGGTCATCTGTGAGATCGTGGTACTTACCCGGACGAGCCTGCCCATCCGTGCAACAGCCGAGGCTGCTGCGTAAGATTGATTCGAAGTTCTTGTCTCAATTGATGTGTTTACGCGTGATTGTAAAGCACTCTTCCAATTGTAAAACAATTACTATACATTGGGAATTCAATTGTATGAATACGGTAAGTTAATAACTTAAGTTGGTTGCTTAAGTTTAACGTTTTGCTCTAACTGTAAGAGTTTCACACTGTTTTTTTTATTTTGAAAAACATTGCCCTCACATTAGGATAACATTACCCGTGTTGTAAGGACGTTTTACAAACATAAATTTCACGTGGACAAATACTCAGATGCGAAACAACTATCTGTGGGTCACACAAATAGTTGTCCCGTGTGGGGATCGAACCCACGACCCCCGACGCCGAAGCCGATACCTTGGCAACTTCGCCACGGAGTCATCAATTAAAACATTAGACCGTAAACGAGGGATGGTGATCGTCAATAATTCATCTTTGATCATCGTCATCAGCCTTTTTTGTCCCCCACTGGTTGAAGGACGCTTCCAGAAAAGGCCAAATGACTCGATCGTACCCTCGCTAGGTATCTAGTGACTGCCACTACCAGTAATCTTGCCAAGATTACTGGTAGTGGTCATTACACCTAAGCCTCTTTCGCCCATTTTTTTGAGGAGCTCAACTGGAATTCCATCCTTCCCTGGTGTTTTCCCGTTCTTCAGAGCGTTGATGGCCTTCTGTACTTCCGATGGCAGTATACCAGGTTCGTCTGCGACCCTCTATACAGAGGGTATGGATTGTTAGCCCTGGGATCCTCGTTTTTCGTCATAAAGTTGCGCGCAGTATTTTCGCCATCGTTCCAGAACGTGATCCATCTCCGTTAGCAGTCGCCCATCTTCGTCCTTGACCACACATGTTTCCATCGGTTTAGATCTGGTCAACAACCTTCTGTAGAGAGGAGGCCATTGCCCAGCAGTGGGACTTGGTTGTTACTTTACTATATGACTATTATGTAAACGGAAATTTAGTATACTCATATAACCATAATTACTGCAATGCAAAATGTAAAGGTAATTATATTGCGTAAATATCTGAAAGCGTATGTCCTCTTTGTTTATTATCGCTTCTTTAACGTGTAATTTGGACCTCCATTCAAGATCCGTTGGACGGTGGTTTATATTATTTTCACCGTTTCACGGCTGCGACATCGTTAAAGGGTACTTGAAAATTTTTCGTTACTTTCTAGGGTTCCGTACCAAAACGGTCAATGGGACCCTATTACGAAGACTCCGCTGTCTGTCTGTCCATCTGTCCTGTATCTCACGAACCATGATAGAAAGTAGACATATTCACCTTTGATGTATTTCTGTTGCCGCTACAAAAATAAATAATAAAAAAACTGAGAATAAAATATTTTATTGGGGCTCCCATACAACAGGCATGTTTTTTTTTGTTGTTTCTATAGATAACGATACGGAACCCTCGTGCCTGGCAGATTTTTTAAGATTTTGTATAGACGGAGAGTCAAAGGTTTACGTATTCATATATCCAATTAGTGTCAAAAGCCTCGAACGAGTGCTGAGGGTATTCTACCAAATGATAGGTCTTTGATTAAATCCTGAATATGAATCCAATGTGTGCTGATCAAAGATTGAATTCTCGTAACACGATCTTGAAATGAAACTAATTACAGATTTTATAGTGAAAGTTTTAGTTTAACTCCCCGTGTTTCTCACCGTTTTTGGCGTCCACGGATGGATAAGGGACAGTTTACAACAACTTCCTAACAATAATCAAATAATAAAGAATTAAATTACGTAACAACATCGACATCCCTAATTGCATCATTTAAATTAATGCGCGACCGCATTTAAAACCAACGAGAAACCTTTTTAATTCGACACCACGGGGCCCCAACGTTTTTCCGTCGCAACCTTTCTTGTCCCTAATTTCTCAATAACCTAAACGTATAAAAACAAAAACGAAACCGACACAGATTAATAATAGAACGCCCGGTTAGTGTCGCAGCACAGATGTTTAAAAAGGGAGGAAAATAGACCAAAAATGCAACTTCGAATTCGTCTAAATCGCGCCTGAACCGAACCGAATGGAGAGCAGCGCATCTGTCGGTACCAGAGCGAGGTCTCTGCTCACCGTACCGTGTATTTCCGGTACGGTTTCTGGTATCCGATTGGCCGCTCGTCTGCATCACGGGCGTTGTACAACACAAAGGTTTTTTAAAACGACGCCGCGGCGTACTTTGCTGCTTTTGCGAGCATATCGTTAAATAAGGCGATTAACATTTAAAGAACTCGGGAGCTTCTATCAGTACCATTAGATTCGAATATTTCCGAACTAAAAGAGAACGCCGGACATAATTTAGTTTTACCAAAAAAATTTAGTCTGTGAAACGGCAAGCAACGAAATTGTTATCGTGAACTATTCAAAATCGCACTGTTGCCCATTTGATTAATTCCAACCGTATCCCAAATAAATGAACATTATCACTTATTCTGCATAGATCTGACATTAATAAAATAAATACTTAAAAATGGCGTAATACTATTATTAAAGATTGAATTTAAATGTTTAGGGATCGAAGCAAATTTACTCGTGAGATGTGTCCTCGTATTTTTCGATAAGAAATACAAAAACACAGGTCGCTAAGTGGCTCGGCCTTGCAAAAGGGCGGCGCGAGGTGGGGGTATTTTTACTTTTGCGCTGTGTCGTCTGAGTGAGATAATTGCAGGCCTGCGGTGTTACGGAGGGCAATGCACCTGCCACCTCTAGCGTAGCCAAAGTTCAAATTGGCTTAAGGACGTTCTTACTTTCATATTCCCATCAACATCTTGCAGATTTACAAAGGAAAAGGGGTACAAACAATATCAATAACAAGGCAATGGAAAATAACTGATTTTTTTTAAAAAGAAGTCGATGTTCTCTGAATTTCTCTCAACAATTTGGATTTTTTAGCTTTTTCGATTTTTTTTATGTGAAAAGTTGCCAAACGAACAGATTGCTCTCCTGTTTTTTTCTTTTTTTATTTGTTTGTTAAAAACATTGCCCTTACTTTAGGATAACATTATCCTGTGTTGTAAGGACGTTTTACAAAAAATTTCACGCGGACAAACACCCAGATGCGAAACAACTATCTGTGGGTCGCACAAACAGTTGTCCTGTGTGGGAATCGAACCCACGACCCCCGACGCCGACAACGCCTTGGCAACTGCGCCATGGAGTCATCAAAAAAATCTTGCAGATTTACAAAGGGAAAGGGGTAAAAACAATATCAATACAAATGCTATGGAAAATACCTTAACATATTGATAAATAATGCTGTTTTTTTTATAAAAATAAGTCTGTGACCAGCTTAACAATTAGCATTTGTTAGCTTTTTACGAATATTTGCTTGTGTGTTTTTTTTCTCGAGTGCTGGTTTGCGGGAAATAGACTGTATGAACACCGATGGGTATGTCGGTACTAGATCTGGGTTTTTAGTTTTAACGACCGCAGTTTGGTCTTATCTTACCTTTTGTGAAGACCCAAAGTGAACCGCATGCGATGTTGAATTTGTGGAGTTCGTTACTGTTTGAATAAAAAAGTAAAGTAACAGCCATTACATGTCCCACTGCTGGGCAAAGGCCTCCTCTATACAGAGGGTATCAGGGCATAGTCCACCACGCGGCCCCACTGCGGATTGGCGGACTTCACATATTTAGAAATAAATATTTTTTTGTTGATTTCGAAAATATGCAGGTTTCCTCACGATGTTTTCCTTCACCGCGGAGCACGTGATAAGTCAGCACCTAAATTTAACTATTTGATTGGTGCCGGCACCGGGGATCGAACTCAGGTTGCTCGAGTATGTTGAATTAAAGGCGAGCGCCCGGACACTGAGCTATCACGGCTCTCACTGTTTGTATATTGTAAAGTATTAATCTTATCTTGTATACTTTCTACCTTACTACGTCGAGGCAAAAAAATGGGATTATGTGGTAGTTTCTAATTCGAAAATTCAGGAATTGAAATTAAAAATGAACTCGTTAATATCGTAAAGTTTTGATTCTTGTCGTTCGATTTTTTATCATAGATATTTCGCTAACTTATACTTTGTTACAGAGCCGTGATAGCTCAGTGTCCGGGCGCTCGCCTTAATTTGCGGCCGCCAAAATGTTTGTTTTCATAAAGTGTCGTCTTTTGTTAAGTGGTTTTCCTTCAATTATTGACTTGTTTATACCCTTTTTTACTTAGTTACGTTTATATCCGTTTCGCTTCAGTGTAAGTTAGAAAATATGAGCTTTATTCATCAACTACATAATGGTTTAAATGCGTGATGCCTTACTTTTTATTTATGGCGTTGAAGAAACGGCCCGGCCCATACGTGACACTAGATAAAATTTTAAACTCGAAATTGCTATGTGTAGGTCTTTTCACCAATAGCATTGGTGAAAAGACCTACACATAGCAATTTTCACCTATCTTCATTCTATTAGTGGACGAAATTCGAACATAATCAATTATACGGTAGTGTATAATGTTTTTTTATTGATTTTATGTATTTTATGCATAATTAAAAAAAATTAGCAGTTCGCACTCCTCTATTAAACTATAAGCGTGGGAAATTTCGTCCCTCCGTCCGTGCAATTTTCGTAAAAAGTGGTACAAAGTGTTTCACGATTCCATTTTATTGCGTCTAAGTTCAATTATTATGTAGGATTCATCTTTGATCAGCTGCCTTTAGAGTTGATAAAGGCCGTTAATTATTTATAATCCCTCGTAAAATGTTACGGAAATAATTATATTTATCAAAATAAAGTATGTAAATGCGCAAATTCTAGCGTCCAAGGTAAACAAATGAGGAAAGAAACCGGGTGTGGTTTCAAAACAAACGGCCGCTTTCGTTTTATTAACATAATAGAAACAAATGTAACGTTTAACGTTTGGATAAAACAAGCTTTTCTGGGGCAGATTACTCAATGCCCGTTAGAAACAACGGTAATACATTTTACGAAATCATTGGGCAGCCAAAGCAGCAATACTATTCTAGCAGGAATCTGTCATAAGTCTAGCGGCAAAGATGGCCGACTCATTTTAACAATGAAACAAGGACAGGCTATAAGTACGCGCTTAATACCTCTCTGTCTCTATCAAAGCCTAGACGTGGAAATCTAGGGATTTGATACGAATGGAAATTATGGCCCTTGCGATATGTGGGTCGCCGAGGCATTTTCAGCTTTACGCCTTTGGGATAGACACTTTTAGCACTCGCCCTTGTAGTTGTGAAGGGTTGAAACCTCTTTGAGGGGTACTCTATCGAGATCGAATGCTTTATAACATACTAACGGCGACAGCTGCCTTGCGAGATATTATGAAAAGGATTTTCCTCTAGTACCAAGTTTAATATCAGGACTCAAAATCATTACCGGTCGTTTTAGGAAGAAAAATCTTTTCAATGTTAATTAATGCTTTTACATTTACGTAAATCAGGTTCTACTGCGAATAAATTACTAAATCAATGGGACATGACATAATTAATTATTTACGTATATGAAGAATACGTGAAGAAAGGCAAACGAGCTGGGGGTTCACCTGCTGTTAAGTTTTTGACATTTGCAACGACCGTAGAGTTAAAAATGCGTTGCCACCTTTTGATAAAGTGGGTGCTGGTTACCTCACTCACCAGACGAAACGCCGAAGTGTAACTTCCAGTTCACGCCGGTCTTCTGTGAGGTATTGGTACTTCCCCGGACGGACCTGCCCGTTCGTGCAACAGCGAAGACTGTTGCATGGCTCTGCCACAGTAGGTATATACACTGTTAACTGTATTTTCCTAATGTGCTTACTTGTGGCAATAAAATAAGTATCACTACATAGTATAAAA